CAGCAGCCTGACGTCACTACTAGAGGGCGGGGCTAAGCCGCAGACTCAGATTTAAAAATACATTAATTCTTATTATAATTGTTATAAAGAGAGATTTATTTAGTATTTAATGATTGATTGTGTTACTAGAGGATTCCTCTAGAGGGCGCACCACATGACTCACAGAGCAGGCAGCGGGAGACTTAATCTGTCTACAGAACCCGGACCTGGAGGTACAGAACCCGGACCTGGAGGTACAGAACCCGGACCTGGAGGGCTCCCTTCAGAAAGAGCATTGACCCCTCAGCGATTGAAGCTCTGAACAAGCGTCCACGCTGACTGGCCCCTCCTTCTTTGTGACGTCTTTCTGTCTGTGTTATGTTTTCTTCTCATTTCCCCCTGGGGGCGTGTCTCATGTTGTCACACAGTACAACTCCACACTGCCCCTAGTGGTTATATGCATATTAATAATAACAAATTAGATTTAGACGAACACATTAAGGAATCACGGTGTTCATTTCTTTCTTTTAATAACAGCCGTCAGTATAACAACTGAACAATTATTTCAACTTGTAACGGTCTGTCCAGCTTAGTTATTGTTCCTGCAGCTTCCGTTTCCGAGCGCACCTGAATGCATCTCTCATTGAATGCAGCATGGTCACAGCGCATCCCCTGAGTAAGGCAGTGAGAGGGACATGCCCAGAAAAGTCTGAAATAAGCGGACTGATGCTTCTTACAGAAAGTAAATAACATGAGGTTATTTAGTTTGTTTAATAAAAGGAGCAGGTATCATTATGACTTCTGCTGTGATATAGAAAATAACTGTGATCCGTTTGTCAGAGAATCAATGTGAACCCTGACACGATTCATCTTTACATGCCGAGAATTATAATTATTCTATTATTATTATAATTAATATTATTATAATTAATATTATTATTATAATTAATATTAGTCCTTTCTGAGGACGTGCTCAGTGCTCCAAACCACCGAAAGTATAAAAGTATACTTTTTGATGTAGTTACACACCAGTGCCACCAGATGGCAGAAGCTTCTTCCCCTGACGTTAAACAGAATCAGCTGTGAGCAGGTTGTTTACAATGTTTATTAAATATGTTCTCTTTTATTTTGTCATTTCAGCAACACAATCATTAGAGAGACAGACAGGTGCAGACAGACAGACAGAACTGGCGCTGTTGGTGGATGTTCAGAATACAGTAGGAAATTTAAAGATGGAGGGGAGGGGGTGGGAGGAGCCCAGCACCATGCCGTGGCCCAGTGACAGACAGACAGGTAAGGGGGACAGACAGAGTGTGAGGTCAGACACTTCCCTCCATGAGGCAGCCAGTTGGACTGAGAGTGAGAGAGGGCTGATGGTGGAGGGAGAGAGGGGTCAAGGAGGAGGAGCAGGGGGAGGTAAACAGGAAGGGGCGGAGCCTAGAACACACCTGAAAGAGGAGGAGGAGCCTACAGAAAACCACCTGCCGCAGAAAGCAGCTCGGGTGTTCAGCCCTGCAGTGACTGTTCTCCTCTCCCCATCCTCACCCAAAGAGAGTGAGGTATTCTGGGAAATGGAGTCAGAGAAGAGTCCTTTCCTTGCTGCCCGAGGAGTCCCACAGGACTACAACCAACATGGCTACCAGTATGACTGGACAGAGGACAAGCCCCCTGCCGCATGCAAGTTTACCTGTCTCACCTCTTTGAAGCCTCCATTTCTCTTACCTTTCTCACAGGTGGGCGGGGTTTAACCTGACCTGGTTGTTACAATGACTTGTCCCACAGGTGGGCGGGGTTTAACCTGACCTGGTTGTTACAATGACTTGTCCCACAGGTGGGCGGGGTTTAACCTGACCTTGTTACAATGACTTGTCCCACAGGTGGGCGGGGTTTAACCTGACCTGGTTGTTACAATGACTTGTCCCACAGGTGGGCGGGGTTTAACCTGACCTGGTTGTTACAATGACTTGTCCCACAGGTGGGCGGGGTTTAACCTGACCTGGTTGTTACAATGACTTGTCCCACAGGTGGGCGGGGTTTAACCTGACCTTGTTACAATGACTTGTCCCACAGGTGGGCGGGGTTTAACCTGACCTTGTTACAATGACTTGTCCCACAGGTGGGCGGGGTTTAACCTGACCTGATTGTTACAATGACTTGTCCCACAGGTGGGCGGGGTTTAGCCTGACCTGGTTGTTACAATGACTTGTCCCACAGGTGGGCGGGGTTTAACCTGACCTGATTGTTACAATGACTTGTCCCACAGGTGGGCGGGGTTTAACCTGACCTTGTTGTTACAATGACTTGTCCCACAGGTGGGCGGGGTTTAACCTGACCTGATTGTTACAATGACTTGTCCCACAGGTGGGCGGGGTTTAACCTGACCTGGTTGTTACAATGACTTGTCCCACGGGTGGGCGGGGTTTAACCTGACCTGGTTGTTACAATGACTTGTCCCACAGGTGGGCGGGGTTTAACCTGTCTTTCTCTCAGGCAGGGGAGGCTGTCCTAACAGGGATGCTTTGAAGGTGGGTGTGTCTTTGATGACATCAGCGCTGTTCTTCCCCTTCCTGGTGTGGGGGGGGTTTGTCTTCCTGCCATTCGACGCCCCCTTGCTGGGCGACGCCCCCCTCAGACTCGTGTATGCGCTGCGCTGCTCTGTGTTCGCCGCTGTGCCCATCGTCCTCGGTGAGACACACACACCAACGAAGAAGAGCTCACACAGTTGTTGTTTCCATGACAACATCTCACCTGTCACTCTGTCACCTGTCTGTCTCACTGGTTTCTTTAACCTGTCTGTCTCAGCCAGTTTCTTAAACCTGTCTCTCTCACTTGTTTCTTTAACCTGTCTGTCTCACCGGTTTCTTTAACCTGTCTCTCTCACTGGTTTCTTTAACCTGTCTGTCTCACCGGTTTCTTTAACCTGTCTGTCTCACCGGTTTCTTTAACCTGTCTGTCTCACTTGTTTCTTTAACCTGTCTGTCTCACTGGTTTCTTTAACCTGTCTGTCTCACTGGTTTCTTTAACCTGTCTGTCTCACTGGTTTCTTTAACCTGTCTGTCTCACCGGTTTCTTTAACCTGTCTGTCTCACTTGTTTCTTTAACCTGTCTGTCTCACTGGTTTCTTTAACCTGTCTGTCTCACCGGTTTCTTTAACCTGTCTGTCTCACTTGTTTCTTTAACCTGTCTGTCTCACTGGTTTCTTTAACCTGTCTGTCTCACCGGTTTCTTTAACCTGTCTGTCTCACTGGTTTCTTTAACCTGTCTGTCTCACTTGTTTCTTTAACCTGTCTGTCTCACTTGTTTCTTTAACCTGTCTGTCTCACTGGTTTCTTTAACCTGTCTGTCTCACCGGTTTCTTTAACCTGTCTGTCTCACTTGTTTCTTTAACCTGTCTGTCTCTCAGGTTGGATAGTTCTGGGTGTCAGCCGGCTCAGGACAGGTGTGATTCGAGCCCTTTATGATGACGAGGAGAAGGAGGCGGAGCTTCAGGAGGTCACAGTCCATCGGCGCTTCATTTCTGACTCAGCCTCCTTGTTCCTGATCTACTTCCTGCAGCTGGTTGTCATGGCGATGTACCTGAGCCAGGAGCACCTGAAGCTCCTCCCTCTGCTGACCATCGTCTTCGCTTTAGGACGGTAAGATCAAAAAACCATCAGAGGTGCGTTTGTTTTCTGTCTCAGAGACGGTTTGACCTTTAAAGGTGTGTTTGTGTTCTATGCAGGTTGGTGTACTGGGTGGCGGCAGCATTCGGCAGCAGCATCCGTGGTTTCGGTTTCGGTCTCTCCTTCCTGCCGAGTGTCGCAATGATGGTTGCCAACATCTACTTCATCTTCTCGTTGGAGGCGGGCGGGTCCATCTTCAGCGTCCCAGCTCCTCCTGAGGAGGTTCTGACTCCACCCGGCAGACAGAGGTTCTACGGTTGAGATCTGATTTTTAATTTTTTTTTTTTACTCTCAAACTGAACAAAGATGATTTTAAAAAGTTGATTTTCTTGAAATATTTATTCGTCAAATATTTTTTCTTCAACTTCCTGTTGTATTAATAAAATAAATCATGACACTCTCTTCCTGTTTTACTTCCTGTCCTGTTTCTTTTTTTTTTAAAGATTTATTTTTGGGCTTTTTGTGCCTTTAATGGAGAGATAGGACAGTGTATAGAGTTGGAAATCAGAGAGTGGGGAATGACATGTGGGAAAGAAGCCACAGGTGGGATGTGAACCCGGGCCTCCCGCTTGAGACGACAGCCTCCATACATGGGGCGCGCGCACTAACCACTGCACCACCAGCGCCCCCCCCCGTCCTGTTATTTATTAAAACTTTTCAGTTGATCTCTATTGCTACCTGTGAAGGCGCCATCTAGTGTTGAGTTGAATCAAACGGATTCATCTGATGAAGAACATTTAAATCTGATATGACCAATCAGATCTCTCGATCACTGAGCTGATGGTATGCTGCATTCATGTGGTGTCGGACAAATCGGAAAAACGAGTTTTAAATGCACATGAACACCTGCTCAAGTCGAAGAAGGTGTCCGACTTCCCAACTTGACGTCAGAATCGTCTTGTCAATATTAACGTACTTAATTATATTTGAATTAATTCAGGTATTGCACATCAACTTTTAACGGTTACATTTCACTGCTCTTCTTCGTAGCGTCCACGCTGTTTTTTGTTGTTATTACAACATTCAGACTTTCTGAACTGAAATCACATGAACACACTGAAGAACGACTTTCCAACTCGGAAACTTGGCGCACCGAGCAGCACCTGAATGCAGCATTAGTTACTATAGACTGTTAAAGGGCGCCAACTTGTGTTTATGATGTCATGGCAGTCTGCACACGCCAAATGCCCCCTGCTGGTCAAAACATAATCTAATAATACTACAGATTTATTTTTGATTAATTATTAATAATAATAATAATAATAATAATATAGATTTATTATATTATTAATAAATCTGGATTATTATTAATATAGATTTATTTATTATATTTTATTAAACACACAAACATTTCTTGAGAAAATATGAAATAATTTATTTTATAAATTTACATTTTTTTACAGGAAACTTTTAAATCCTTTCACAATAAAAGTTCTGGGATTGTAACCCACAGCTCTACTGATTGGCCGGTATCAGTCCTCACCCTCATTGGCTGTTGCTGGCTCTGTGGGCGGAGTCACATCCTCAGAGTTGCTGTGACGAGCAGCAGTTCGAAACAAACGCATCAAATCTTGAAACCGGCGTGAGACCTGAAGACAAAAGGAAGCGTCAACAACAGTTTACAAAATGTGACCAATCCCAGCCTGAATGTAGACGAGCCAATCACCTCACTGGGAGTCTTGTTGCCGAGCAGAATAGAGATTGCCTGAAATGTGTTCTGATTGGCTCCGTCCTTCTGACACGTTGTTAGAATGACTCGATCAGCTTCTCTGAAAGAAAAAAAAAGATTTTTGAAACTGCAGAAAGAGATTACACTGTTCTCATGCGCCTCCTCAAAGAGGAGGAACTGTACCTGGTCCAGAGGATGACTTTCTCTCCACTCGCTGTCAGAGAAATGTTCTTGGCACAGACCGGGAGGTCAGGAGGAGGACTGGGCCGAGGGGGAGCAGAGGGGGGTGAGGAGAGGTCTGAGGAGGGACAGATGGAGGAGGTGGACGAGGAGGAGAGGGATGTAAAGGGGTAAACAGATGAGGAGAAATGAGAGGACACAGGGGAGGTGGAGGTGAAAGAGGGATAGGGGTTTGAGGAGGTGGAGGAGGTGATAGAGGGATGGGGGTTTGAGGAGGTGGTAGACGGAGGGGGGTTTGAGGAGGTAGGAGAGATGGAGGAGGTGGTCATAGAGGGATGGGGATTTGAGGAGGTGGTGGTGGAGGGATGGGGGTTGGAGGAGGTGGTGGTGGAGGAGGTGATAGAGGGATGGGGGTTTGAGGAGGTGGTGGTGGAGGGATGGGGTTTGAAGAGGTGGTGGTGGAGGAGGTAGGAGAGATGGAGGAGGTGATAGAGGGATGGGAGGTGGAGGAGGAGGTGATAGAGGAATGGGGGTGGAGGAGGTGGTGGTGGAGGAAGTGATAGAGGAATGGGGGTTGAGGAGGAGGTGATAGAGAATGGGGGGTGGAGGAGGAGGTGGTGGTGGAGGAAGTGATAGAGGAATGGGGGGTGGAGGAGGAGGTGATAGAGGAATGGGGGGTGGAGGAGGAGGTGGTGGTGGAGGAGGTGATAGAGGAATGGGGGGTGGAGGAGGAGGTGGTGGTGGAGGAGGTGATAGAGGGATGGGGGTGGTGGAGGAGGTGAAAGAGGGGTGGGGGTGGAGGAGGAGGTGATAGAGGGATGGGGGTGGAGGAGGAGGTGGTGGTGGAGGAGGTGATAGAGGATGGGGGTGGTGGAGGAGTGAAAGAGGGGTGGGGGTGGAGGAGGAGGTGATAGAGGATGGGGGGTGGAGGAGGAGGTGGTGGTGGAGGAGGTGATAGAGGGATGGGGGGTGGAGGAGGAGGTGGTGGTAGAGGAGGTGATAGAGGGATGGGGGGTGGAGGAGGAGGTGGTGGTGGAGGAGGTGGTGGTAGAGGGATGGGGGGTGGAGGAGGTGGTAGGAGAGATGGAGGAGGTGATAATTATGGAGGCGGTAGGGGTTTGCAGCATCTCCTCCCTCTTGCTCCTCTTCACAGTTGGGCTCTGCTCCTTCTCACTGCTCTTACTCTCCTCTTCATCTTCATCATCCTCCACCTCATCAAGCTCCTCCTCCTCCTCCTCCTTCTCTTCAGTAAGGGGGAACGAGCCTTCCCATGATGCACTGCTGCAATCTGTCATCAAATATAACACACCTGTCATATAACACACCTGTCATCACATATAACACACCTGTCATATAACACACCTGTCATCACATAACACACCTGTCATATAACACACCTGTCATCATATATAACACACCTGTCATATAACACACCTGTCATCACATATAACACACCTGTCATATAACACACCTGTCATCATATATAACACACCTGTCATATAACACACCTGTCATCATATATAACACACCTGTCATATAACACACCTGTCATATAACACACCTGTCATCATGTATAACACACCTGTCATACAACACACCTGTCATATAACACACCTGTCATCATATATAACACACCTGTCATATAACACACCTGTCATCATATATAACACACCTGTCATATAACACACCTGTCATCATATATAACACACCTGTCATCATATATAACACACCTGTCATATAACACACCTGTCATATAATACACCTGTCATCATGTATAACACACCTGTCATATAACACACCTGTCAAATAACACACCTGTCATCATATATAACACACCTGTCATCATATATAACACACCTGTCATTATATATAACACACTTGTCATCATATATAACACACCTGTCATATAACACACCTGTCATTATATATAACACACTTGTCATCATATATAACACACCTGTCATCACATATAACACACCTGTCATCACATATAACACACCTGTCATCACATATAACACACCTGTCATCATATATAACACACCTGTCATCACATATAACACACCTGTCATATAACACACCTGTCATCACATATAACACACCTGTCATATAACACACCTGTCATCACATATAACACACCTGTCATCATATATAACACACCTGTCATATAACACACCTGTCATCATATATAACACACCTGTCATATAACACACCTGTCATCATATATAACACACCTGTCATCACATATAACACACCTGTCATATAACACACCTGTCATTATATATAACACACCTGTCATATAACACACCTGTCATCACATATAACACACCTGTCATATAACACACCTGTCATCACATATAACACACCTGTCATCACATATAACACACCTGTCATCATATATAACACACCTGTCATCACATATAACACACCTGTCATATAACACACCTGTCATTATATATAACACACCTGTCATCATATATAACACACCTGTCATATAACACACCTGTCATTATATATAACACACCTGTCATATAACACACCTGTCATCACATATAACACACCTGTCATCATATATAACACACCTGTCATCATATATAACACACCTGTCATATAACACACCTGTCATTATATATAACACACCTGTCATTATATATAACACACCTGTCATATAACACACCTGTCATCATATATAACACACCTGTCATCACATATAACACACCTGTCATATAACACACCTGTCATCACATATAACACACCTGTCATCATATATAACACACTTTAAACACCTGTCTGTTGACTACATCCAGGACAGGTACATACCGGGCTGAGGACTGTCGTCATCCCCCTTCATCTCAAGGTCTTCACCTGGTTGATGGTGGTCGGATCTTATCTGAGAGTACAGAGGGTCCAGACTCTTCATGGCCCTGGACACGCCCCCTGAGGTCTGGAGAAAAAAATAGACATTTGATAGCCTCTTTACCTGTCTCTCATTAACACCTGATGACACCAAGCAGCAACCTGCAGTATAGAAAAGTTAAGCCAAAAAGCCGCAGTTCCTTGAGTGTCCACTTGAGGCTCTCAAAGGAGTCTGATACACACGTGTGTTATTGAAGTTAGTCAGGAGTCTTAAGCCCCGCCTCTTCACCTGTTACTGTTAACTAAAAGTGTGCTTCAGAAACCAGTGGGTGATGTTGCTGAGACTACGTCCATGTTTTATACAGGAGACACACCTTGTTGCCATGGCAGCGAGAGCATCCTTTCCTTCTGTGCCTTCGGATCTTTGAGTGTGGACAGAGGCATGACCAGTCCTTATCTGACCAATCACAGTCCTAGAAACATAAAACATTTACTAAACAACCAATCACAGTCCTAGAAAAATTTAACTGACCATTCCCTGTTGATTAAAGCTCAATAACGGTTCTTTACTGTGTGAGCAGACCTTGTAATTTCTGTGGGCGTCCATTTTTCTCCTTTGGCGCCGGCTTGTGAGTGGTGCGATCTTTTGCCCCTCCTCTTCCTCTTCTAGCTCTGGGAGGGTCACTTCCTCAAAGCCACTGCTGGCCCCACCTCCTGACTCATGGCCAATAACCTCTGTCCCTTCCTCCTCTGGCCAATGGGCTTCTTCAAACTGTCCCAGGTGGGCGGGGGGTGGGCGGAGATTGTCAAAAAATACCCAGAATTCATTTTGTAGATGATTGTGGCCTTTTAGCAGCGTGGCCATCTGAGATTTTAACTGAAACATAAGAAAGTGTAATGGTTAAACTGGTCTCTGTACAGTAATGATACTGTAATGATAATGGTTAAACTGGTCTCTGTACAGTAATGATAATGTAATGATAATGGTTAAACTGGTCTCTGTACAGTAATGATACTGTAATGATAATGGTTAAACTGGTCTCTGTACAGTAATGATAATGTAATGATAATGGTTAAACTGGTCTCTGTACAGTAATGATAATGTAATGATAATGGTTAAACTGGTCTCTGTACAGTAATGATAATGTAATGATAATGGTTAAACTGGTCTCTGTACAGTAATGATACTGTAATGATAATGGTTAAACTGGTCTCTGTACAGTAATGATAATGTAATGATAATGGTTAAACTGGTCTCTGTACAGTAATGATAATGTAATGATAATGGTTAAACTGGTCTCTGTACAGTAATGATACTGTAATGATAATGGTTAAACTGGTCTCTGTACAGTAATGATAATGTAATGATAATGGTTAAACTGGTCTCTGTACAGTAATGATAATGTAATGATAATGGTTAAACTGGTCTCTGTACAGTAATGATACTGTAATGATAATGGTTAAACTGGTCTCTGTACAGTAATGATAATGTAATGATAATGGTTAAACTGGTCTCTGTACAGTAATGATAATGTAATGATAATGGTTAAACTGGTCTCTGTACAGTAATGATAATGGTTAAACTGGTCTCTGTACAGTAATGATAATGGTTAAACTGGTCTCTGTACAGTAATGATAATGGTTAAACTGGTCTCTGTACAGTAATGATACTGTAATGATAATGGTTAAACTGGTCTGTACAGTAATGATAATGGTTAAACTGGTCTCTGTACAGTAATGATAATGGTTAAACTGGTCTGTACAGTAATGATAATGGTTAAATTGGTCTCTGTACAGTAATGATAATGGTTAAACTGGTCTGTACAGTAATGATAATGGTTAAACTGGTCTCTGTACAGTAATGATAATGTAATGATAATGGTTAAACTGGTCTCTGTACAGTAATGATAATGGTTAAACTGGTCTCTGTACAGTAATGATAATGGTTAAATTGGTCTCTGTACAGTAATGATAATGGTTAAACTGGTCTGTACAGTAATGATAATGGTTAAACTGGTCTCTGTACAGTAATGATAATGGTTAAACTGGTCTCTGTACAGTAATGATAATGTAATGATAATGGTTAAACTGGTCTCTGTACAGTAATGATAATGGTTAAACTGGTCTCTGTACAGTAATGATAATGGTTAAACTGGTCTCTGTACAGTAATGATAATGTAATGATAATGGTTAAACTGGTCTCTGTACAGTAATGATAATGTAATGATAATGGTTAAACTGGTCTCTGTACAGTAACGATAATGTAATGATAATGGTTAAACTGGTCTCTGTACAGTAATGATAATGTAATGATAATGGTTAAACTGGTCTCTGTACAGTAATGATAATGTAATGATAATGGTTAAACTAGTCTGTACAGTAATGATAATGGTTAAACTGGTCTCTGTACAGTAATGATAAAGTAATGATAATGGTTAAACTAGTCTGTACAGTAATGATAATGGTTAAACTGGTCTCTGTACAGTAATGATAAAGTAATGATAATGGTTAAACTAGTCTGTACAGTAATGATAATGGTTAAACTGGTCTCTGTACAGTAATGATAATGTATTGATAATGGTTAAACTGGTCTGTACAGTGATGATAATGGTTAAACTGGTCTCTGTAAAGTAATAATAATGCTTAAACTGGTTTGTACAGTAATGATAATGCTTAAACTGATCTGTACAGTAATGATAATGCTTAAACTGGTCTTTGTACAGTAATGATAATGGTTAAACTGGTCTCTGTACAGTAATGATAATGGTTAAACTGGTCTGTACAGTAATGATAATGGTTAAACTGGTCTCTGTACAGTAATGATAATGGTTAAATTGGTCTCTGTACAGTAATGATAATGGTTAAACTGGTCTCTGTACAGTAATGATAATGGTTAAACTGGTCTGTACAGTAATGATAATGGTTAAACTGGTCTCTGTACAGTAATGATAATGGTTAAACTGGTCCAGTTGATGTACCTCCTGGACGCTGATTGGACTCAGGTCTGGTCCGGTCTGCAGAGCTTTGATGATCTTCTGATAATGTGACGGATTATCTCCGAAGCTGATCTCTACCTGTCGCAGGAATCGGCGGCTTCGTTCAAATGCCTGCTGCTCCTCAAACTGCAGAATTCAGAGAGTGATGATGATTATTAACCTGATATACACCTGTTATATACCTGCAACCTGCGATACACCTGTTATATACCATCAACCTGAGATATACCTGTTATATACCATCAACCTGACATACACCTGTTATATACCATCAACCTGAGATACACCTGTTATATACCATCAACCTGACATACACCTGTTATATACCATCAACCTGACATACACCTGTTATATACCATCAACCTGAGATACACCTGTTATATACCATCAACCTGACATACACCTGTTATATACCACCAACCTGACATACACCTGTTATATACCATCAACCTGAGATACACCTTTATCAACAGGTGAAACTCTCCTTGATCAACCGGTGAAACTCTCCTTGATCAACCGGTGAAACTCTCCTTGATCAACCGGTGAAACTCTCCTAGATCAACAGGTGAAACTCTCCTTTATCAACAGGTGAAACTCTCCTTTATCAACAGGTGAAACTCTCCTTTATCAACAGGTGAAACTCTCCTTTATCAACAGGTGAAACTCTCCTCAATCAACAGGTGAAACTCTCCTCGATCAACAGGTGAAACTGTTATCAATAGGTGAAACTCTCCTTGATCAACAGGTAAAACTCTCCTTGATCAACAGGTGAAACTCTCCTTTATCAACAGGTGAAACTCTCCTTTATCAACAGGTGAAACTCTCCTTGATCAACAGGTGAAACTCTCCTTGATCAACAGGTGAAACTCCGTTATCAACAGGTGAAACTCTCCTTGATCAACAGGTGAAACTCTCCTTTATCAACAGGTGAAACTCTCCTTGTTCAACAGGTGAAACTCTCCTTGATCAATAGGTGAAACTCTCCTTGATCAACAGGTGAAACTCTCCTTGATCAACAGGTGAAACTCTCCTTTATCAACAGGTGAAACTCTCCTTGATCAACAGGTGAAACTCCGTTATCAACAGGTGAAACTCTCCTTGATCAACAGGTGAAACTCTCCTTTATCAACAGGTGAAACTCTCCTTGATCAACAGGTGAAACTCTCCTTGATCAACAGGTGAAACTCTCCTTTATCAACAGGTGAAACTCTCCTTTACCAACAGGTGAAACTCTCCTTGATCAACAGGTGAAACTCTCCTTGATCAACCGGTGAAACTCTCCTTGATCAACAGGCGAAACTCTGTTATCAACAGGTGAAACTCTCCTTAAACAACAGGTGAAACTCTCCTTGTTCAACAGGTGAAACTCTCCTTGATCAACAGGTGAAACTCTCCTTGTTCAACAGGTGAAACTCTCCTTTATCAACAGGTGAAACTCTCCTTGTTCAACAGGTGAAACTCTCCTTTATCAACAGGTGAAACTCTCCTTGATCAACAGGTGAAACTCTCCTTGATCAACCGGTGAAACTCTCCTTGATCAACAGGCGAAACTCTCCTTAAACAACAGGTGAAACTCTCCTTGTTCAACAGGTGAAACTCTCCTTGATCAACAGGCGAAACTCTGTTATCAACCGGTGAAACTCTCCTTAAACAACCGGTGAAACTCTCCTTGTTCAACAGGTGAAACTCTCCTTTATCAACAGGTGAAACTCTCCTTGATCAACAGGCTAAACTTTCCTTGATCAACAGGTGAAACTTTCCTTGATCAACAGGTGAAACTCTCCTTGATCAACAGGTGAAACTCTCCTTGATCAACAGGTGAAACTCTCCTTGATCAACAGGTGAAACTGTCTTATATCTATATGCTTTGCGCTTGTCTTATTTTCAGGAGTATACAGACACTGCTTTTTTTAATTTAGTGAAAGAAACACTAAATCATCTTCACTGCTTGATCACTTTGTGTTATGAGTTTTAACGGACTTGGTGTACAAAGGCCTTAACACAGATCCTGCAGATGTTCCCCAGAGTTACACCTGTGTCACTCACCAGTCCGCACTGCAGAGCCTGCTCAGGGTGGAGGAATGCGGCAAAATCTCTGAGGAGGTCAGTTCGGTCTCCCAGAATGCAGCGCAGCTTCCTGAACAACATTATCAATTCTTGTCCTTCTCCCGCCTGCTCAAACTCACTCAGCAGAGACACAAACTCCCCAGCCTGTCCAGGTAAATCCTGCAGGGCCTCACGTACCTGTAAACACAGAGACATTGTTCTAAGTCAACGTTTACTGAGATGGTTTACTGTCCCTGACGGTTGCTAAAAAACATCTCGACATTCACACTTCCTACCTGTCCGTTAAATTCAACATAACCTTACTATAATTATGTTAATTCTCAGGTTAACATTCATCCACCTGTTCTGCATTCATCCACCTGTTCTGCATTCATCCACCTGTTGTGCATTCATCTACATGTTCTGCATTCATCTACCTGTTCTGCATTCATCTACCTGTTCTGCATTCATCCACCTGTTGTGCAGTCATCCACCTGTTGTGCAGTCATCCACCTGTTGTGCAGTCATCTACCTGTTCTGCATTCATCTACCTGTTCTGCATTCATCTACCTGTTCTGCATTCATCCACCTGTTGTGCAGTCATCCACCTGTTGTGCAGTCATCCACCTGTTGTGCAGTCATCCACCTGTTGTGCAGTCATCCACCTGTTGTGCAGTCATCCACCTGTTCTGCATTCATCTACCTGTTCTGCATTCATCTACCTGTTCTGCATTCATCCACCTGTTGTGCAGTCATCCACCTGTTCTGCAGTCATCCACCTGTTGTGCAGTCATCCACCTGTTGTGCAGTCATCCACCTGTTCTGCAGTCATCCACCTGTTCTGCATTCATCTACCTGTTCTGCATTCATCCACCTGTTGTGCAGTCATCCACCTGTTGTGCAGTCATCCACCTGTTGTGCAGTCATCCACCTGTTCTGCATTCATCTACCTGTTCTGCATTCATCTACCTGTTCTGCATTCATCTACCTGTTCTGCATTCATCCACCTGTTGTGCAGTCATCCACCTGTTGTGCAGTCATCCACCTGTTGTGCAGTCATCCACCTGTTCTGCATTCATCTACCTGTTCTGCATTCATCTACCTGTTCTGCATTCATCTACCTGTTCTGCATTCATCCACCTGTTGTGCAGTCATCCACCTGTTCTGCAGTCATCCACCTGTTCTGCATTCATCCACCTGTTGTGCAGTCATCCACCTGTTCTGCATTCATATACCTGTTCTTCAGTCATATACCTGTTCTGCAGTCATCTACCTGTTCTGCATTCATCTACCTGTTCTGCATTCATCTACCTGTTCTTCAGTCAGTCATCTACCTGTTCTTCAGTCAGTCATCTACCTGTTCTGCATTCATCTACCTGTTCTGCATTCATATACCTGTTCTGCATTCATCTACCTGTTCTTCAGTCATATACCTGTTCTGCAGTCATCTACCTGTTCTGCATTCATATACCTGTTCTTCAGTCATATACCTGTTCTGCAGTCATCTACCTGTTCTGCATTCATCTACCTGTTCTGCATTCATCTACCTGTTCTTCAGTCAGTCATCTACCTGTTCTTCAGTCAGTCATCTACCTGTTCTGCATTCATCTACCTGTTCTGCATTCATCTACCTGTTCTGCATTCATCTACCTGTTCTTCAGTCATATACCTGTTCTGCAGTCATCTACCTGTTCTGCATTCATCTACCTGTTCTTCAGTCAGTCATCTACCTGTTCTTCAGTCAGTCATCTACCTGTTCTGCATTTATCTACCTGTTCTACAGTCATCCACCTGTTCTGCATTCATCTACCTATTCTGTAGTCATCTACCTGTTCTTCAGTCATCTACCTGTTCTTCAGTCAGTCATCTACCTGTTCTGCATTCATCTACCTGTTCTGCATTCATCTACCTGTTCTACAGTCATCCACCTGTTCTGCAGTCATCTACCTATTCTGTAGTCATCTACCTGTTCTTCAGTCATCTACCTGTTCTTCAGTCAGTCATCTACCTGTTCTGCATTCATCTACCTGTTCTACAGTCATCCACCTGTTCTGCATTCATCTACCTATTCTGTAGTCATCTACCTGTTCTTCAGTCATCTACCTGTTCTGCATTCATCTACCTGTTCTGCAGTCATCTACCTGTTCTGCAGTCATCTACCTGTTCTGCAGTCATCCACCTGTTCTGCAGTCATCTACCTGTTCTGCAGTCATCCACCTGTTCTTCAGTCATCTACCTGTTCTGCATTCATCTACCTGTTCTTCAGTCATCTACCTGTTCTTCAGTCATCCACCTGTTCTGCATTCATCCACCTGTTCTTCAGTCATCTACCTGTTCTTCAGTCATCTACCTGTTCTGCATTCATCTACCTGTTCTGCAGTTAACTTCACTTGGGCTCGTTAAAACAGTTTGTTGTGTCACCATCCAAAGTCCAACCCTTAACTGTGCAAACTTAGTTTCTGTCTCTTTGGAGCATTCACACTAGACAATCCGTTCCGGGCCTAAGCACCCTTCACCCTCGATGTCCAGTTCCTTTGACTAGTGTGAGTGCTCCATGTACTTCCTTAGACCTGGCACACTTTCAAGAGTTGTGCTTCAGCATGGTACACTCAAGCACGACTACAAGGGTACACAACATGGACATGAATAGTCTATGGTATGCGAAAACTGGGCCTAGTGTGAGGAAACAATAAATGTCGTTTTTTTTCCTCTCCTTTTTCTCTTTGCTAAATGTTGTATAATGCTGTGCAGGCTGGATTTATGTTGGGTCTTTGTAAATAATATAAGAAAGAGTTCTGCTCTGCTTGTAAAGTGTCTGCAGAGAACATTTGTTATGAATTGTACAAATAAAGATTGGTAGATTAAACAGCATGTCAAGTGTAAACAGGAACAAGATTTACCCTGTTTAAGTAGCTCTGTGCGAACGCAACATCTTTGCTCTCTCTGTGCGGGTCGTTGTCCAGGATGTTTTCATCATACAGCAGTAACAGTTTAGTGGTGTCGACGCTGTGGCGCTCCTGACGACTCCTTCTCAGACCACGAAGAGGACGACTCCGCCCTGTGGCAAGTCGAGAATCTTTCAGAACATGTCACTTTAATAACATTTTGGCTTTAACATCACAGAGACAACTCTGACCTCTCCCTCGTCCTGGACGATTTCCTCCTCCTCTGGGCGTCCCCTCGCCTTGTATCTCCTTTGTTCCCCTTCCCTCTCCAGACTCCTCCTCCTTAGGCACCTCCTCCTCCTCTTCCTCCTCCTCCTCCTGAGAGCCGGGGGAGGTGGGAGAGTGATCCTCCTCTGAGTCTCCGTCTGCACAGAGTGATCCTCCTCTGAGTCTCCGTCTGCACAGAGCCGACGCTCTGCCGCCAACCATGTCAGCTGCTTCATGGTTTCCTGAAAAGGTCAAAAGTCAGCTGCTTCAGTCTTTTTCTCTATGATCATGTGACTAATAAGCAAGTACTTCCTGTTTACCTGTAACTCTGGAACAGACAGCACTGACTCCTCCGAAGCTGATGACATCACTTCCTCTTCATCTTCATCCTGTGTAAGGTCATCAAAGTCCTCATCCTCCTCCTCCTCCTCCTCCCCCTGCTGATCCTGATCTTCATCCTTATCCTTCTCTCCATCTTCTTCTTTCTCTCCTTCTCCACCCTCCTCTGTTCCTCCTCCTCCTCCTGTTCCTCCTCTCCTTCCTGCCCTCCTGCCCCTCCCCTCCTGCATCCTCCTCCCCTTCTCCTCCTCCCTCTCTCTCCTGTCTTCTTCCTCTTCACCAGACTTCTCTCCTCCATTTAAAGTGACCAAAACTGGACCAGCCAAGTCCTCCTCCTCCTTTTCCTTCTGTCCTGCACAAGACAATCTTGGATTAATTGTTGAAGTGAAACTTTCCTCCTCCTCCTGTCTCTTGTCAACTGGGAGAAGTGGCCGAGTGGAATGCGGCTCAATGCCCTCCTGCTCCTCATGGACAGATATTTCAAACTTTTGCTTAACAGCATGATGGGAGTTTGCAGTGGACAGACCAATGGGTTGGGAGTTTGCAGTGGGCGGAGCTTTGTGTTGGGAGTTTGCAGTGGGCGGAGCTTTGGGTTGGGAGTTTGCAGTGGGCGGAGCTTTGGGTTGGGAGGTAGCAGTGGGTAAAGCTTTGTGTTGGGAGTTTGCAGTGGGCGGAGCTTTGGGTTGGGAGGTAGCAGTGGGCGGAGCTTTGGTTGGGAGGTAGCAGTGGGCGGAGCTTTGGGTTGGGAGGTAGCAGTGGGCGGAGCTTTGGGTTGGGAGGTAGCAGTGGGCGGAGCTTTGGGTTGGGAGGTAGCAGTGGGCAGAGCTGTGGGTTGGGAGGTAGCAGTGGGCAGAGCTTTGGGTTGGGAGGTAGCAGTGGGCAGAGCTGTGGGTTGGGAGGTAGCAGTGGGCAGAGCTGTGGGTTGGGAGGTAGCAGTGGGCAGAGCTGTGGGTTGGGAGGTAGTGGGCAGAGCTGTGGGTTGGGAGGTAGCAGTGGGCAGAGCAGCAGTGGGCAGAGCTGTGGGCTGAGCAGCGGTGTCCACACCAACCCGAGGACGAAATACCCTGGCTTTAGAGCAGCAGCTGAGCATGGCATTATGGGACTAGTAGTATCAGGGTAGGTCAGAGAGGGGAGGGGCAGGAGCAGGGACGTGGAGCTGCTCTTCTGTTCCATAAAAAAGCTCTGATGCAATCTCTGGCCAATAGGAAGGCAAGACTTTGTAACCGTAGGACATGCAGGGGGGGCGGGGACTGTTTGAACAGCAGCCAATGGGACAGCCCCATAGGGTTGAGACAAAGCCGCCAGTTCAGCAAAACCTGGAGGGGGAGGGACAGGAGGCTCATTGGTTGCATATGAACCTGTCTGTCCGCCTTTACATCTGCTTGTCTGTCTTCTGGGGCTTTGGCCAGGGGCAGCAGTGATGCATTGTGGGCCAATTTGAAGATGCGTCTGTGGGGGGTTGCTGGAGGGTAGGATTTGGTGAGCCAGTAGGGGTGGAGCCTTAGTGTGCAACCTGGTGGAAGGGAGGGAGGGTAAGAGTTGGAGTCGAGACGAGTCTTCTGGATGATCATCTGACTGTTCTGTAGGTGAAAACCATCAAAGAACATTTAAACAGTCATCAGTGTGTGAATGTGTATGCATGGATGAGTTAATACTGATGGACTCTTTACTCAGCAGCCTCTACCATCAGTGTGTGAATGGATGAGTTAATACTGATGGACTCTTTACTCAGCAGCCTCTACCATCAGTGTATGAATGGATGAGTTAATACTGATGGACTCTTTACTCAGCAGCCTCTACCATCAGTGTGTGAATGGATGAGTTAATACTGATGGACTCTTTACTCAGCAGCCTCTACCATCAGTGTGTGAATGTGTATGAATGGATGAGTTAATACTGACGGACTCTTTACTCAGCGGCCTCTACCATCAGTGTGTGAATGTGTGTGAATGGATGAGTTAATACTGATGGACTCTTTACTCAGCAGCCTCTACCATCAGTCTGTGAATGTGTAGGTGTAACCTGTGGTGTAAAACCACTTTGAGTAGTCAGAAGACTAGAAAATAAATATACAAGCTAAAGTACATCAACCATTTCTCATGACATTCTTCTGAGCAGATAGGATCAATCAAACACAAACCACAGGATCATCTTTAGAACCATCAGAGGCCTCATGTATAAAAGACTGCGCAGCTTCTATACTGAAAGATGGCGTACTCCCAAAATTGGAAAAGTAGTTACACACAGAAATGTCCACATGTATAAAACAGAGCGCGCCTTTCCTTTCTACATCCCCATTAACGTGAAACTGAGCACAGCTGCACGTGCCACTTGGCCCGCCTCACCTACACCTTTTTAAATAATGAGGAAAAATATTTTCCTCAACTTCCCGCCTGTTTCACGTTCTGTGTATCCTAACGGTGCTATCTGCGTTTGGCTCGGTGATGCCCGGTCAGTGTCGGGTTCGTCCCTCTGTAGCTCAGCGCGCTACATGTAACATACAGGAGGTGGGAGTGCGCCTTGGAGACTGTTCAGTCCCTGACGTGTTAACATTTGGTTTGGTTTGGCACAGAGGTTAAGACAGCTGTGAAAAATATGTTTTAATTTATCCCACTTTATGAAACTAGTTCAGTCAATGGAGTGGCAAATTTGTTATGGCTCACCTGGAGAGTTTCAGAACTATAATGTTTGACAAAGTCAAATGACAGAGTTTGCAGCAGGGTCCGCACAGTCTCACGTCAAGCTGATTTATTACTTCCCGACGTGTGCGTGAAACACAGCGTAATCAACATTTTAGTGCGCACGCACCGTTTTAACATGAGGCCCTCGGGCTTTGATTAGTTTGGTCTGAAGGAGAATCAACCTTGTAGTTAGTGCTGGGCAATATGGCCTAAATTTGATATCACAATTTTTTTTACCTAATGTCAATATTCGATATGACTCGATATTTATCGTATTAAAGTTTATAAATGTAGCCTACAAAACTGAATCTCCACTGTATATAAAAAAAAAATATCACTAGCCCTACCTTTGTAACCGCTGGCCCAGGAACATTACTTTTGATTTGTAAAATAACAGTCACCAATTTACTCTTGAACCATTCTGATTCAAAAGTCAATTACAAATTTTATTTAATGAATTGAGCTCTAATTATAAACACATTGTGTATTTTTCTTATATCTACGTGCTCATGTTTATTCACCATGCTGATAACTGTAAGAGTCTACTTAATGTGATATTAATATGAGGCTGTGATAGATCTGGAATCTCTCCTTCTTTCTTCTCTGTGAGAAACTCTTCATCTTTAGAGCTTTACTTTAGGAGCTCTCTTAAGGGCTAAGATACTTTGTGAATAACTTTGATCTTTACCAGGATCTAGTCTTTAACGTGTTCCAGCTCCTCCAGCTGTCTGTCACTGTGGATCAAACTTTTCTCCGTTCTGTTTTTGCCCTGCTGTCACTCTCAACTCTTACAGGGATTTCTATTCTTTGAATTCTGATTTAAGCTCAACTTTTGACGGAATATGATGGTTTTAAAACTGTTTTACAAAACATGTGTTTTGGTAGAGAAAACCCTGCACTAAAATCTGTGTGCGAGTTTACAACTCGAGTGTAGCGAGCGTGCTCGCGGGAGTGACAGCAGTGAAGCCGCCAGCTGAACATGCAATCAGCTGGACTCTGTCAATCATTCATCCGGGTCAGCGGGACACTTATAATGTCAAGCCCTGCGTTATGAGCCTTTTTTTGGAAGTAATTCGGCCTCGCTCGCGTCTTTCTCTTTCTCCTCCGTGTTGGTCGCTTACAAGAGCTAGGCTACTCAGCGGCAGGAGTGGAGTCTCCTCCGGCCTTTCGTCTCCGCGCAACAAGTGCTGCCACGGAAATCTCGCAGAGCAACGAAATATCGCGCAAAAACTTTTAGGTGGTTTAAAAAATAAAATCGATGTTCCCTTTTCCATATCAAGCTTTAATTAAAAATTGATCGAATCGAGCTTCACGATATATCGCCCAGCACTACAAGTTGTAGTGTGAACTGTCTTAGGGTTACGTTTATCTGTATGTGAATGTGGATCTGGTTTACAGAATCAGACCTTGAGCCAGTTCGGCATGTTTGAGCTGTTTCTTTCCACTGGGGGGCGCTGGTCTGCTGGCTGAACTCTGCAGCAGGCAAGTGGCAGAGGGGGAACGACTCCCTGCATCAGAAACATCTGGAAACAAACAGGTTAACTTTACACAGGCCACCATTTTATCAGCTGATGATGTCAGAGAATGTGTGTGATGTCACAGTGTTGTAACGGTGAAGTCACCTTGATGACATTGTTTTGTAGCGCTCTGGGCCCGCTCATCTCTCGGACGTGTTTCCTGAAGTTCCATCGAGTCTTACGTAGAAGATACGAACTAATCAGCTGATCTGGCTCCACCGTCCCCTCGAAGTGCTTCAGACCCAGAACGATTAGTCTGCACAGAGGCATCATGGGATATGTTACTGTCAGTCTGCACAGAGGCATTGTGGGATATGTTACTGTCAGTCTGCACAGAGGCATTGTGGGATATGTTACTGTCAGTCTGCACAGAGGCATTGTGGGAAATATTAAATGTGATGTAAAACACTTAAATAATAAGTGTGTGTTATTTGTGAGTGCTTATGTACCCATCCTCTCCTGCTGTGTAAACATTTCTCTGCTGTCGGATGCTGACGACGTCCATGTTGCAGACGGGAAGTAATTCTGGGTAAAGGAACACGGGTCGAGTTGCAAACAGCCACGCCAGGTCGGCTGGAAGCAGAGGGAAGGCCAGACCTAAAAAGAACCAGAAATTGAACCAGAACTAGCTGTAGGAACGTCTGCTGAGCAAAGACACATGATAAAAAAAGAAAACTGTAGCAATTTTCACACATGCATCCATGCATATTTCAAGAAAGTTTCAGGAGAAGCTATCCCTGAAATCTTCCTGTGACACACATCAGCTAACAGGACTTCATGCTGAAAATGTAGTCGGAAAAAAAAGTCAAGGTAAAGTTAGAGTGAAAGATTCGGTTGTTTGTGCTCACACATGCAGCTCACCTGAAAAATTGAAGGAGCTTTGTGCATGTGTGAAAAGGGCTTTTGTGTCTAATTAAAGAACAGGAGTTTCTCCTCCTTACTGTTGGTGGAAGGAGTCATGCTGGGGAGCAAGCGTCTGGAGGCAGCAGGAGCAGGAGGAGCAGGAGGAGGCTTCCCCCTCCTCCCCTCCTCCTTCAGGAGATCCAGCGCCCCCTTCAGGTTACACACTCTAAAACTGCTGGGTCTTAAAACCTCCTCCTGACGCCTGGCAAACTGCTGCAGCTCTTCCTACAGGTAGAACAGATAACAACAGGGAAACAGATTAGGAAAGGCTTCTGAGAAAACAGGTGGTCTTATTAACTGACGAGGTGATGTTACTGACTGACCAGGTGATGTTACTGACTGACCAGGTGATTCTACTGACTAACCAGATGATTCTACTAACTGACCAGGTAATGTTTGGTGATGCAGGCTTCGTGGTTAAGAGTTTCCAAACGGTACGTCAGCAGGTGTATCTGAGTCAGCAGCTGCACATGCTGAAAGAAGAAAACATGTCAGTTACAATGTTTAATAACTAACTAACTAACCTATATCTGACATCATAACTAACTAACTAACTATATCTGACATCATAACTAACTAACCTATACCTGACATCATAACTAACTAACTATATCTGACATCATAACTAACTAACCTCTATCTGACATCATAACTAACTAACCTCTATCTGACATCATAACTAACTAACCTCTATCTGACATCATAACTAACTAACCTATATCTGACATCATAACTAACTAACCTATACCTGACATCATAACTAACCTGTGTCTGACATCATAACTAACTAACTAACCTATATCTGACATCATAACTAACTAACCTGTAACTGACATCATAACTAACTAACCTGTGTCTGACATCATAACTTACTAACCTATATCTGACATCATAACTAACCTATATCTGACATCATAACTAACTAACCTGTGTCTGACATCATAACTAACTAACCTGTATCTGACATCATAACTAACTAACCTATATCTGACATCATAACTAACTAACTAACCTGTGTCTGACATCATAACTAACCTATATCTGACATCATAACTAACTAACCTTTATCTGACATCATAACTAACTAACCTATACCTGACATCATAACTAACTATATCTGACATCATAACTAACCTATACTTGACATCATAACTAACTAATCTCTGTCTGACATCATAACTAACTAACCTATATCTGACATCATAACTAACCTATATCTGACATCATAACTAACTAACTATATCTGACATCATAACTAACTAACCTATACCTGACATCATAACTAACTATATCTGACATCATAACTAACCTATACTTGACATCATAACTAACTAATCTCTATCTGACATCATAACTAACCTTTATCTGACATCATAACTAACTAACCTATATCTGACATCATAACTAACCTGTGTCTGACATCATAACTAACCTGTGTCTGACATCATAACTAACTAACCTATATCTGACATCATAACTAACTAACCTATATCTGACATCATAACTAACTAACCTGTAACTGACATCATAACTAACTAACCTGTGTCTGACATCATAACTTACTAACCTACATCTGACATCATAACTAACTAACCTGTGTCTGACATCATAACTAACTAACCTCTATCTGACATCATAACTAACCTGTATCTGACATCATAACTAACTAACCTATATCTGACATCATAACTAACTAACCTATACCTGACATCATAACTAACTAACCTGTATCTGACATCATAACTAACTAACCTATATCTGACATCATAACTAACTAACCTATACCTGACATCATAACTAACTAACCTGTGTCTGACATCATAACTAACTAACCTGTGTCTGACATCATAACTAACTAACCTGTGTCTGACATCATAACTAACTAACCTATATCTGACATCATAACTAACCTATACCTGGCATCATAACTAACTAACTAACTAACCTGTGTCTGACATCATAACTAACTAACTATATCTGACATCATAACTAACTAACCTATACCTGACATCATAACTAACTAACCTGTGTCTGACATCATAACTAACTAACCTCTATCTGACATCATAACTAACTAACCTGTGTCTGACATCATAACTAACCTGTATCTGACATCATAACTAACCTATATCTGACATCATAACTAACCTATAGCTGACATCATAACTAACTAACTAACCTGTGTCTGACATCATAACTAACTAACCTGTGTCTGACATCATAACTAACTAACCTGTATCTGACATCATAACTAATTAACCTATATCTGACATCATAACTAACTAACCTGTATCTGACATCATAACTAACCTGTATCTTGTTTAGGGGAGTTTTTCTTAACCAGTTGGAGGTAATGTCAGAAGGTGACGTAGTTTTAAATCACACCTGTCAGTGTTTAGGGCGGCGCTTGCTCACCTGTTGGACCTGCTGCTGCAGCTGTAGTTTCTGGGTGTGGTCCAGTTGGAAGGGGGGGCAGTTGGGGCTGACTATCTGGAGGGGGGTGGTGGTGTGTGATTGTGGAGCAGGCGTGTGGTTCAGGTGTGTGTTATTGCGTTGCTGATTGGTCGTGTCCTGCAGTGCCCTCTTCTGCTGCAGAGCTTCATACTGTTGTCTGACCGTTCGTCGCCGCTCTGTTAGCATGCTAGCTAACGGTGCCTCAAATCTGCAAAGAGGGACAAAAGGCTCAACACGGGGTCTCCACATGCTCACAATTGACATTTTAAGTTTGTTCTCCACCAAATCAGCGGTTTCATTACACAGGCTTTGTCCCCTAAAGGAGACTCGGGCGGTTCCTAAAAGTCGGTGACACACATTTACATACTTCTAGAGAGTTAAACGCACACACAAACACTATAACGGGGGTTAGGGTTCCTTTATCAGGAAGTTTTTGACCTAGAAGTGGGCGAAGCCTAAATGGACTCATTTGAATTTCATTGATGCATGATGTCTCCTCCCACTGAGCTCTTCCTCATGTGTTCTGTATGAAAAAGATGCAGTGGAGGACTTTCTGTTCCTCCTGACCCAAACAGAGACAGCACCACTCTGCTGCCCTGTCCCAACAGGAGGACACACACACCTAGACACACTCAACACACCTCTGCACAAAAAAGTTAGCCCTGCCTCTTTTCTACTAAATTCTACTGTTGTTCTACAGTTGATCTTCAGAGCAGGTTAGCTGTCTGTATTTGTGTGTGTGTGTGTGTTTCTGTGTGTCTCTGTGTTTCTGTGTGTGTGTGTGTGTGTGTGTGTGTGTATGTGTGTGTGTGTGTGTGTGTGTTACCGTAAAGCTTTGGGAACGTTGAACTTAGTTCCAGTCAGTGATTCCAGGTGTGACTCCTGGTGTGACTCCTCCTCCTCCTCCTCCACCTGCTGCTCCTCCTCCTCCTCCTCCTCCTCCTCCTGCAGCTGTACAGGTATCAGATGTCAGAATCACATGTCTCAAACTTGATGACCAATCAGCGCTGAGTTCATAGTCAGACAGTTTTAGTGTAAACTTATCAGGAACATTTACCAGATTTGATGCTTTAAAGCAGACGGTGAAGGGGGTGGGGGATTACTAGGGAGGGGACACCTCACTTATGTCCAGGTACATAAACGGTGGACCAGGTACATTAACCGTCTTCCAGGTATATTAACAACTGCCCAGGTACAATAACAGCCACCCAGGTACAATTACATTATTGACCAACACATCTTATAACATAGACAAGAACATTTACTTGGAATTACAGGGACTGCTTTAAGTTGGTTTGAATCCTACTTATCAGACCGATCTCAGTTTGTACATGTTAATGATAAGTCCTCTATGCACACCAAGGTTAGCCATGGAGTGCCACAAGATTCAGTGCTTGGACCGATTCTCTTTACATTACTCGGTTTTGATGTAGGGGGCGCAGCTCTGCTGCTGACCCTGTGCTTCATGTGTTACGTTCGTTGCTGTGTTTATATGTCTTTTTCGCATATTTTTTTATAGTAAGCTTTTGGTAACCTTACTGAACTGCTTGGAGATGGGGGGCCCCACACTATGGGTGATTATTTGGCTTGTAGTCCTTTTGGTTACCGACAGTTTCGGACTACATGCAAACAATGGCCTGATCACCTACAGCCGGGAGCACCTGTTGTCTCTTCAACCTCACGCAAGAATCGGTGACCTGTTTCTAAATCTACCCGATGACTGCTCCAGACTGGCAAAGAATCAAAAGCTATTAAAGAACCCCCAGACAACAGCAGGACTTAAAACTAAAATTAAGAAACGAGGATCAAGAGGAGGCATCAAAGCAAGACTCCGAAGACGCGGCGGCCGACCTCCCCTGCCAGTGATTACGCTGTCTAATGTACGGTCACTAAATAACAAATTTGAGGAACTAACGGCAAAAGTCAAGTACGACAGCAACTTCAGACACAGCAATCTGATATGCCTGACAGAGACATGGTTGAAAGAGGACGTGCATGTTGCTTTGGGGGGATACACCACGATAAGAGCTGACAGGGATGAATTTACATCACTTAAATCAATTGGAGGTGGACTATGTATCTTTGTAGACGACAGATGGGCCACGCAATTCCACATACACGAGCAAATATGCACCCCCGATTATGAACTTATATCTGTGTCTTTCAGGCCTTTTTATTTACCTAGGGAATTTGGACAAATTACTGTCATTTTAACATATGTGCCCGGACCGGACTATGAGAAGGCAGCGGCAAGAATAACAGAGAGCTACAACACCGCGCTCACCCGCTCCTCAGACCAGCCCGTGTTTGTCCTTTCCAGTCACCTACCTAACCTGCAACAGTATGTGGATTGTCCTACTAGATCTACCTGTGTGTTGGATAAGTGCTACGGAAACGTGTCTGATGCTTACAAGGCTGTAAGCCGACCACCACTGGGTAAGTCAGACCACAATGTGGTGCACCTGCTTCCCAAATATCGAGCTATGGTGAAGCAACAGAAACCCATGAGTAAGGACATTAAACTGTGGACTGAGCAGAGCAAAGAGGAGCTGAGAGACTGTTTTGATGACACAGATTGGCAACTGTTTTTTGACTGTAGTGGAAATGTACATGAATTGACTGAAACCATAACTTCATATATAATATTTTGCGAAAACAATTGTGTCCAGAAAAAAACGGTTAGAATATTCCCAAACAATAGACCATGGTTATTTAAAGATATTAAAATTTGTCTTAATGAGAAAAAACATGCTTTTATTAACGGTGATACTGATGCGGTCAAAGGAAAAAGGAGGGAACTCAGATCCAAGATAAAGAAAGCAAAATTGGAATATAAAGACAGGGTAGAGAGCCAGTTTTGTCTGGGTAATGCTAAACAGGCATGGGAAGGCCTTAACTCTCTTAACTCCTTCCTTTGTGAATGATTTAAATGTTTTTTTATAGCAGATATGATGTAGGAGATTTTAATACAGAATGTGAGATGGTTTGCAGCAAAATTCCAACATATGCCCCAATAGTTCTAACAGAGCATGAAATAGCAGTTAGCCTTGCAAACACAAAGCCAAATAAGGCCCCTGGACCTGATGGCCTGACTGGACGAGTACTTAAAGATTGTGCACCTCAGCTGACAGGTGTCATCACCAAATTGTTTCAGCTTCTGCTGGACAAGTGCACAGTACCTAGCTCCTGGAAGATGTCCAACATAGTGCCTGTACCTAAGAAACCAAGGGCAAACCTTTTAAATGATTTTAGACCAATAGCACTTACTTCTGTTTTATGCAAAAGTATGGAAAGGGTTGTATCCAAGCACCTAACATCAGCTGTGACCTGCCATCTTGATCCCCTCCAATTTGCATATAAAAGGTCAAGAGGAACTGATGATGCAACAGTAACCTTAATTGACAAAGTGACCAAACACTTGCAACAGACAACAAACTATGCGAGAGTGTTATTTATCGACTTCAGTTCTGCTTTTAACTCAATCAGAACACATATCCTTTTAAAAAGGCTCTTGGATTTAGATGTGAATGGGGGTCTAATTCTGTGGATCAAAGATTTTCTGTCTGAGCGTCCACAAAGAGTGTGCTTAAATGGTAATGTGTCAGAACTGACCGTTTTAAATGCAGGAGCACCTCAAGGCACCATCTTGTCGCCTCTATTGTTCTCTTTGTATACAAATGAGTTTAGATTTCAAGACTCAGATTTTAGCTTATTCAAATATGCTGATGATATGGCACTTGTTGGCCTCCTACGCGCAGGGGACACTAAAGGAGAGAATATGTATTTTAATCATGTAGCTTCGCTCCAGAACTGGTGTCTATCGAGTGCTTTACAGATAAACATTAGTAAAACTAAAGAAATGGTTATAGCCAGTAAAAACAATATTTCTGACTCCTGCCTCACAATCATGGGAGAAATTGTTGAAAAGGTAAACTGCTTTAAATATTTAGGAACTTACATCGATAGTCACCTCAAATTCATAGATAACACAGACTATGTCTTTAAAACAGCTCTGCAGAGGCTACACCTACTTAGGAAGCTGAATGAGTTTGGGGTGAGTAAAAAGGTTCTTGAAATGGTGTACAAGAATCTGGTAGAAAGTATTTTGTCTTTTAACATGGTCGCATGGTACGGGCATTTAGATGTTAAATGTAAAAACAAACTGACAAGAGTGGTCAATACCGCTAGTAAAATCATAGGGAAACCACAGATGCCACTTTGTGACAGGCACATACTGAACACTAAAAAGAAAGCCCAAGACATAACAAGTGACCCTTCTCATCCACTGCACTCCCAGTTCGAAGTGCTTCCATCAGGTCGGCGATTCAGACTGCCAAGAGCCACAAAAAATGTTTATAAAAAATCATTTGTACCAAATGCAATAAAATTATTAAATTCATAAAGGAGAAAATGACCCCCCCCCCAACTCTAACTGCACATTGTTTTATGAAATTACTGTTTTTAAACCTATAACTTTATGAAATGTATTAAAACTCTGGCTTATTACTATACTAAATTATTATTTTAAATTCAAGAACCATGCTGACTGTGATGTTGTCGAGGACTACAGGCGCTCTCCTGGTTTCCTGCTGTGCTTGAATGTTGTGTTGTTTGTCATCTGTCTTATTCTTGTGAAGCCGAAGACAATTTTCCACTTTGTGGACAAATAAAGTTCTATTCTATTCTATTCTATATATGCTTCCTCTGGGAAATATTATGAGGAAACACTCCATACAGTTTCAGTGTTATGCAGATGATACTCAGCTTTATGTATCAATGAAGCCCGATGGCACCAGTCAGTTATGTAAGTTAGAAACGTACCTACGGTCTTTAAATGTACTATGGGAGGTAAAGCCTTCAGTTATCAGGCCTGCTCGTGATACCTACAGTCTCTAAATGTACTATGGGAGGTAAAGCCTTCAGTTATCAGGCCTGCTCGTGGTACAGTCTCTAAATGTACTATGGGAGGTAGAGCCTTCAGTTATCAGGCCTGCTCGTGGTACAGTCTCTAAATGTACTATGGGAGGTAGAGCCTTCAGTTATCAGGCCTGCTCGTGGTACCTACGGTCTCTAAATGTACTACGGGAGGTAGAGCCTTCAGTTATCAGGCCTGCTCGTGGTACAGTCTCTAAATGTACTATGGGAGGTAGAGCCTTCAGTTATCAGGCCTGCTCGTGATACCTACAGTCTCTAAATGTACTATGGGAGGTAGAGCCTTCAGTTATCAGGCCTGCTCGTGGTACAGTCTCTAAATGTACTATTGGAGGTAGAGTCTTCAGTTATCAGGCCTGCTCGTGGTACCTACGGTCTCTAAATGTACTATGGGAGGTAGAGCCTTCAGTTATCAGACCTGCTCGTGGTACCTACGGTCTCTAAATGTACTACGGGAGGTAGAGTCTTCAGTTATCAGGCCTGCTCGTGGTACAGTCTCTAAATGTACTATGGGAGGTAGAGTCTTCAGTTATCAGGCCTGCTCGTGGTACAGTCTCTAAATGTACTATGGGAGGTAGAGCCTTCAGTTATCAGGCCTGCTCGTGGTACCTACGGTCTCTAAATGTACTATGGGAGGTAGAGTCTTCAGTTATCAGGCCTGCTCGTGGTACCTACGGTCTCTAAATGTACTACGGGAGGTAGAGTCTTCAGTTATCAGGCCTGCTCGTGGTACCTACGGTCTCTAAATGTACTACGGGAGGTAGAGTCTTCAGTTATCAGGCCTGCTCGTGGTACCTACGGTCTCTAAATGTACTATGGAAGGTAGAGCCTTCAGTTATCAGGCCTGCTCGTGGTACCTACAGTCTATGAATGTACTATGGGAGGTAGAGCCTTCAGTTATCAGGCCTACTCGTGGTACAGTCTCTAAATGTACTATGGAAGGTAGAGCCTTCAGTTATCAGGCCTGCTCGTGGTACCTACAGTCTATGAATGTACTATGGGAGGTAGAGCCTTCAGTTATCAGGCCTTCTCATGGTACCTACAGTCTATGAATGTACTATGGGAGGTAGAGCCTTCAGTTATCAGGCCTTCTCGTGGTACCTACAGTCTCTAAATGTACTATGGGAGGTAGAGCCTCTCTCTCTCTCTCTAACTAACTTTTGCTAAAATGTTGCTTAGTGCTCATGATGGTTTTTGGGTTAGGGTTTGTCACACTAATGACTTGGTGCTATACAAATAAAGATTGATTAATTGTCTGAATGAATAATGGCCACCTAGGCACATTAACAGTCGTCCAGGTACATTAACAGTTACAATAAAAGTCAGGAGTTGAATCAACAAACAGCTGCAGGTTTAAAAATAGCGATTATAAATCATTTACTAACTCACCGTATCAAAGAGCTCATCCAGCAGCTCGTTCACCTCCTTCTCTGTAAGAGAGGAAACATTTTACACTGAAAGTCAGATAGCAAGCGCAGGGATAAGGGGGGGGGGTGTACTGTTACCATGTTAACTGCTACAGCAGTAGCCTGTTTTTCTTTTTTTGAAAGCTCAAGATCTAGGCTGACAGATATGACCTTGCTTGTTTAAAAAAAATATCACATACAGCCAGGTGCCTTGTATACCTATATTAGCAGTCACAGCAGGTGTTCTTTAGCAAACTCTAAAGAAGTGAAAGTATGACAAGATACTAAAGTAGTTGAAGGTAGGGGGGTCTGGGGGAATCCCCCCCAGGAGAAAAAAATAGCCAATCTAACATTCAAATGAAGCTTTTTGGAGCATTTTGAGATTAGATCATGAGAAATGAGGACCGTGTAATGATACTAGGAGGATATATAAGTGGATACCTTGTGAATTCCCAGGGCATATAATAAAGATGTTTTGACAATTAGTGTATTCACCCTTTTTTGCATTACAAATCTGAATCTGAGAAGTAACTAGCAGATAAACTAAAAAACTTTATAGAAAATGTACAATATTGCTTTTGTAAATTTATACAGAACTTTAAGTATTGTACTTTATAACTTTCACCCACTCAGTCGTTAAAAGTAAACTAGTGCTAGCTTGTTAAGCTAATATGACATCCAGTTTACAGGTGATTCATGTCGCGGGGTGCTCTGTGTGGGTAATGTGCTGTATCACCTGTTGTCTTGACGCGTGTTCCTAACGCCGTGTGTCCGTTAGCGGAGCACTCGGCGACTGTCTGCTCTGCCTGCACGTAATAAAACTTTATTATCATTCTCCTGTATTTCATTTTGGTCGGGAAAATAAAGTTGCGCACCGAAGCAAAACAAGTCCTGACATGACGGGCGGTGCACGCTGATGTTCGCTACCAAAATAAAAGCCTCCTACACGCCGAGCGGACTTCACGTAGCAGATAAAATTTCTGACTGTAAATGAAATGCCACACAGACGCACAGGCCTACTACACTTATATTACAGGATTCAGATAAATGCATGACATTAAAGACAGCAGTTTGCACGTTTATCATTAACCAACATTCTGCTCCATTTTTTTGTCTGATTGATGCTGACTAAAAATATTACAATTGTGAAATTGATGGAAATCTGTTTTAGTGACGGAGAACTTTAATCCCTGATCACATGACCTCCTCTCTCAGGGTCAGTTCAGACAGATGACCACAGAACAACACCTACTGGTGATCTGCACCGCCCTGTCCGTCCTGTAGTCCTCCACATCCGGTTCATCGTGCTCCTCCAGGAAGTTATATTCAGGGTCGTCTTCATCGTCAGCTTCCTCTGAGACAGACACAGAATCGGGATCAAAACATAAAGTGTGTAACGTTGTTCACGCTCAATATTCAGGTGGGGCGCTCCCACTTTCGGTCTCATCAAAGGTAAAGTGTGGGAAGTTGGCGGAGACAGTGTTCAGGTAAAAATTAGGACTTTTCTGTAATTCATTATTATTAGACCAGACAGGAAGTGTTTCATATCTAACTGTTTGACCGTGCTACATGAAATCAGACTTATTTTGAAAGTTAACCTGATGTCTGACCTTCATTGTCCGGGGCCATCAGACCCTGCAGCCACCTCGTCCAATGACGGTCCTCCTCTCGCTGGGCAGGATTCTGCTCATACATGTCAGCGGTGATGTCAGGGGCTAGAAGCTCCGCCTCCAGCTGACCCAGAGGAACATTAACCAATCGAAGTTTGGAGCGTGTGCGATACGCTAAACTGCCTTCATCATTCTCATCACTTTTTTTTCTGTCCAGAGACTGAGAATGAGAGAATAAATGTTATTTTCATTTTTATTGATTTTTCTGAGACTGTAACTTTCATGTCCATAAAGAATATTGTCAACCAATAAATACAGACTGCAGTTACTGAGGGGTTACCTGGTTACAGGTCTAGTTCATACTGAGGGATTACCTGGTTACAGGTGTAGTTTATACTGAGGTGTTACCTGGTTACAGGTGTAGTTCATACTGAGGGGTAACATGGTTACAGGTGTAGTTCATACTGAGGGGTTACCTGGTTACAGGTTTAGTTCATACTGAGCGGTAACATGGTTACAGGTGTAGTTCATACTGAGGGGTTACCTGGTTACAGGTGTAGGTGGGGCTGCAGTCCAGCTCCTCGTCCACAGCATTCAGTCTTTCGAGGAAGGAGGACTCAGGAGCAGCTAAGAGGTGCTGAGGGGTGCAGGTGGAGGTCATCACCTGGTTCTTCAGACGTCCTGGAAATCTCTAACCAACAGGTCAGAGTTCAGAGGTCAGTGTACACGAAAGGGTCCAGGTATTTGTAACGGCGGAGGTCAATAATTAGCATGGGACTAAAGCGGTTTCTTACTGTACCGCACACATTTATTGGTCCACAAATGAACTGGTCCATTCCATCCCACTTTTTTGCTACCCTTCTGTTGGGGTGCCAAGCATACCGATCCGACCCTTAAAAGGTGGGGCTAGACGCATTGCAGTCCGCTGACTGGTCGAAAGGATCATCATTTCTCCGCGCGACAGCAGGTTAGGACAAACACATAACGCACCATGCTTTAATATCCAGTGGATTTCCTGTAAAATACTTTCAAGCTGATTCATTTATTGGACAAAATGTCAGCACTATGCCACGAACAGAAGGAGGTGCAGAGGGAACTGGATGGTGCTGAGGAACAATAGAGTGTTCCAACGAATTGCGCAAAAGGACGGCTGCAGTGGGGTTCGCTGGACATCATAGCAATGCCAGTGAAAAATGCAAAAAGCTCCACAGGGAGTACATGAGGATCAAAGAACAGCCCGAGGGGTGTTCAGAGAAAGTGGTTATGGACTCGATCTACGGCAGCAGACCGACTAGTGAGGGAAGAGAGGGTAGTCAATTTTCACATTTTAAACGGCGCTGCCATTCTCGCCTTTACAGTAGTACACACGTGTGTGGATGTGGTTGAGGTACCTGTGGGAGTGAGTTCGTCCTCAGGTGTTCTGGATGTTCAGGTTGAGGTCTCTGCAGAGTTCTGGGAGGAGAAGTCAAACTGTCGATATCACTGAGAAACATCTGCCCACAAACACAAACAGGAAATGACATCAGCAGCAGAACTGTAAAACAGGTTAACCATGGAGACACACACAGGTAGAGAAGACAGGTAGAGAGACTGGTAGAGAAGACAGGTAGATAGACAGGTAGATAGATAGGTAGAGAGACAGGTAGAGAAACAGGTAGAGCTGACAGGTAGATAGATAGGTAGAGCTGACAGGTAGAGAGAAAGGTAGAGCTGACAGGTAGAGAGAAAGGTAGAGACAGGTAGAGAAGACAGGTAGAGCTGACAGGTAGAGCTGACAGGTAGAGCTGACAGGTGGGTTAAAAATAAACCATTAGGTACAAACCCCCTCCCCCTCACCTCCTCTGTTGTGTCTTCCTCCTCCTCCTCCTCATCAGGACAGTACTCCTCATCTGAAGAGTCTTCATCCTCCTCTAGATCTATATCAACAAACTGAGGGGGCTGCAGACAGACAGGTCCAGAGAGAGAGACAGTCAAGTACAGACAGACAGGAACAGAGATTAACAGGGAGACAGACAGAAAGACAGGAACAGAGACAGACAGACAGGTATACAGACAGACAGGGACACAGACAGGTATACAGACAGACAGACAGACAGGGATACAGATAGACAGGTATAGAGAGAGACAGACAGACAGGAACAGAGACAGGCAGGTATACAGACAGACAGACAGACAGGTATACAGACAAACGGGTCGATGGTTTACCTTCACTGTTTCGACTGCAGACAAACTCCAGTTCTCTGACTGTAAGCAGACAGACAGGTACAGAAACAGACAGTTGAAGGACAGTCATAATTTACACACTTGTCTTGTTTCCAGGTAAATTATCAGAAAGCATTGTAGAATGTGGAGTTCACCTGTCCCAGCTGGATAACCTGTTTCAGTCTGGAACGAGTCATCTTTGGCTCCTGAAGGGAAAAAAAGAGATGAGATTAGTCTGAGGTAGTCTGTAATTGTCATTCCAAAAAGGGGAAACCCGAAGAGGACGAGGAAGAACGCTGATAAATAAACCGTTGTTGTTCCAAAAAAAGGCTGACGGCCTCCTTGGTGTGTCAGGGCCTTACGTGTTTAAATCAGCTTTCAACACCATAGTCACCGCCAACCTCCATTCCAAGCTGATCAACCTCAGACTTAACACCTCCCTGTGTGCTTGGATCCTGGACTTCCTGACAAACAGATCCCAGGTGGTCAGAGTGGGCAGACACACCTCCAGCTCTTGCACCCTCAACACCGGAGCACCACAGGGCTGTGTCCTCAGCCCCCTGCTCTTCACCCTGTACACACATGACTGTGTGGCCACAAGCAACTCCAACATCATGGTGAAATTTGCAGATGACACGTGGTTGTTGGTCGCATCAGCAACTATGATGAGCAGACGTATACAGGGGAGGTTGGAAACCTGTCACAGTGGTGTCAGGACAACAACCTGCTCCTGAACGTCAGCAAAACCAAGGAGCTGATTGTGGACTTCAGGAGAGGACAGCAGAGGGATTACACCCCACTAAGAATTGATGGGACGCTGGTGGAGAGGGTGTGCAGCTTCAAGTAGCTGGGGGTGCACATCTCTAAGGATTTAACATGGACAACCCACATAGACAGTCAGGTGAAGAGGGCGAGGGAGCGCCTCTATCACCTCAGACAGCTGAGGAAATTCAAAGTCTCTGTGAAGGTCCTGAAGACTTTTTATTCCGGAGCGGTGGAGAGTGTGCTGACTGGAAACATCACCCAGTGGTACGGGAACAGCACTGGGCGTGACCGAAGAGCCCTGCAGAGGGTGCTGAAGTCAGCAGAGCGTACAATGGGTACAACACTCCCCACCATCCAGGACATCTTCACAAGGAGGAGCACAGCCAGGGCAAACAGGATCATGAGTGATCCAGTTAACAGACTGTTTATGTGGCTACTCTCTGGCAGGCGCCTTCGACACATTAAGGCGAACACAGAAAGACTCAGGAAGAGCTTCTTTCCTCAGGCTGTCCGGACTGTTAACTCCACTCTCCTCAGTTAAAAATAAAACAGAACTGTGACTATATGATGCACACAAACCACACATTCCAATCTGCACATTGCACTTTGACACCCTGGAAAGTTTTCACTTTTTACATTTGCTATATTTCAATATTTCTTTGTTTAATTTTACATTATATTTCTACATTACTGTATGTGCATTAGTCATTTTTGAGTGTTTATTGCATGGCCTTGCAGAACAGTCTTTACATTTCACTGCACATCTGTATGAGCATGTGACAAATAAAAATCTTGAATCACCAGAGGCCGCCATTTAAGCTACATGGAGAGAATTCACATCAATAAACAAACAAACATCAAACTCACAAACATAGGCAGGTCCTGAGTGTCTCTGATAGTCGCTTTCATCATGGCCACCACATGCTCATGGGTAATCAACTCCTGAAAGAAACGCACAGCACACACATTACACACAGTGTGTAAAACATGTTACAGTGTGTAGAGTATATTAACATGTTACAGTGTGTAGAGTATATAAACATGTTACAGTGTGTAGAGTATATAAACATGTTACAGTGTGTAGAGTATATTAACATGTTACAGTGTGTAGAGTATATAAACATGTTACAGTGTGTAGAGTATATTAACATGTTACAGTGTGTAGAGTATATTAACATGTTACAGTGTGTAGAGTATATAAACATGTTACAGTGTGTAGAGTATATTAACATGTTACAGTGTGTAGAGTATATTAAACATGTTACAGTGTGTAGAGTATATAAACATGTTACAGTGTGTA